AGAAACTTTTAATGTTCTATCAATAGAAAGAATTATCTGCAAAAATAAAGTATAATTTAATATTATAATTATTTTATAAGCAATATACTGTATAAATTTTACCTCAAAAAACTCTTTAATAATTTCTTCATTAGCAGGTTCTTTGGTTTTAAAAGGCACATTATGCAAAACTAACCGTTTAGTTCGTGTACGTAATAATTCTTAAATATTATAGATACTATTTTCCAGCTCACTTTTAAGGTTTGAATTTTTTTTACAGCTTCTCAAATTTGCTCTAATGTATCAGCCTTTTCAAATATTTCCTCCATATGTAAGTTCATTTCATCCTGCATAATTGCAACACTTTAAAGACCCAAATTAATTATTGATATAATTCGTTCAGCTGGATTTGCCTAACTATGATAAGGAGCAGTTCATAATGCAATAAGCATATCAAAGTCACCATGAAGAAATAGACAAAAAAAAGATATTTGCACAGAACCAAAAGTTGTTCGATGATCTAGACTACTATCTGTATAAAGACAAAGAATAGGAGGTATATTAAAATCATAATGACTTTGTATTGCAACATAAAATTTGGTCACATGTCTGATCGCGTTGCTAGGTTGAAATAGTGTATCTTTATATGATACAAAACTTTACCATTATAGAAGGAATGTTCAATTGATTCAGAAATGTCAATAAAAAAGGTTACAGAAGGAATAAGAGATAATTTTGTAAAATCATGATTACTTGCTATCAGAGTTGCATTTGTGCTAACTATATTTTTTTTATTACAAACACCAGTTGATATAGCTACACCTTCTCCAATTAGAACTTTGTGTTTGTCATCTGCAGCAATAAAAAAATATGATTACGATAAAGGATAGCAAACTCGTGTAAATATCAAAATAAACAAGCATAATAATATGCATTTGGATGACCTTTACATAATAGTCTAGCTTGAACTTGAAATTTTATATTAAATTGACCAGTATAATATATTGCGGCTGATGCGGTTGAATTAGTTGGGCAAAATTGAAGACAGATCCATTCTTCACATAGAAGTCTAATATTTGATAGTAATAGTAAACTATATTTGACTTCCAATCTTTTTATTATAGTTTTATGAAGATCACGAATTAAAATAGCCAATGGCATATACAAAATTAATTCTTGTCATCGATCATCATCTGCTGGAATATTCTATATTATATTTAGAATAGAAATAAATAATATGTTATATAAAAATAATAATTAATAATAATTCATAATAATAAATTACCTCATTAAAATAAGCACTCATTTCATTCCAAAAGATATCAAACTCTTTGCCTTTAAAACCATTGTTGATTCACAAATCAACAATTATTGATGGATCTTCAAGTGTAAGCATTATTCGTAATCGATTTTCAATTTCTTTACAAATAGGATTTGATGTTGTAGAAGCGTCACCAGTTAAATCATAATATAAGGTGTGAAGTATAACTGGAGTGACCTTTTTGATAAGAGAATACTTTAAGGTAAATAAATAAATATTAATTGATTAATTAATATAGTTGAATAAACTTTTATGAATTTTTTAATTTATACCTTATTTAATGCATTTTTTCTCATTTGACAAGTAAAATATTTTGGTAAGTTTTCTTGAATTATTGTCATTACACGCACATTTTCTATTTCTAATTGTTGATCTACTAATAATAGAATTTTTCATATATAATTAAAAATGCCAAGATAGTTACCCTGATGATACCGATAAATTATTATAGGAAAATTAAGCCGCAAATCTTTAATATAACGATATTTTTGCATCAGATCAGATGAAACATATTCTTCAAGATCAAAAAACTCATAATCATTTTTTTCAAGCAAAAATCTGATAGGTTTTGATATTTAATATTGATTTTTTGAGACCCTTCGATATTATATACTTGCAAATCTTGATTAAAATCTTGTATTACTAAATTATTATTATGACGGACATTTATTTCAAAATTAACTTCATGTAAATATTTTGCATATTTTTTCACTATATTTGTTAATTCAAATACTTGTGAAATGAAATCAATCCACTTTATTTCACTTGCTTATGGTTGTCCAATTGAAAGTTCTAATGATTGTGCTAAATGTTCAAGATTTTTTTTTTCAAGTGATTTTTTTTTATGATGTCCAGTAAAATAAAAATTATTATAATACTTGTCACATTGATATAAATTTAGTTCTTTAAACGTATCTAGAACATTTAATGAATGAGCAGCTAATGTGCTATGATGCGGATCAATATACCAAAGAAGAGCTACAAGACGATTCACAAATGTTTTTGCAAAGCTTTCCTGATTTTCACTCCAACCACCCTTTGTTTTTTTTAACAATGCTATAATATCATTATATAAAACGTCTTTTTGAGTATCTTCCCTTTTTGTTGTTGGAAAATATGGTTGATGGGCCTGTTTCATCATAATATCAAATGCAGTTTGTCCTGCCAGTTATGTTGATTATGGTGGATCATCGGGTTCTTCAATTTGTATAATAAATCATATATATTTTAATCCTAATTCTGATATTAAAGATATTTTATCATAGAGTCCTTCTTTGAGATAATTTCATTTGCCATCCCCTTTTCCTACATAAACTTTTACATCTCAATTGCCAAATATGCCTTAAGAAGTTGCTTCATATATTTCGCTAAATATACATGCGTCCTTAGCTACTTTAATAATTTGCTGACTGATAATATTTTTTTGTCCCTCATTAACACTAACAAAAAAATGTACCATGTTTAAAAATTAGGAAAAGTATCTCACAAAGTTACGATGATGATTAAATTTGATGAAATTTGAACGGAAAAAAGCATCAAATCAAATGCGAGTTGTATATCAATATGAAAAAATTTTTTCATTTTTTCACGCAGCATTTTACTATGATTAAACATATTAAAAACATAAAGTTTTGCAAAGGAAGATTTTAAACTTTTATATAAAAACGGGTTGTGGTATGGTTATGATAAATAGATAACATAGATAGTACATTGGGGTAGCTGATGGACTAATTAAATCAAATATATGTATAGTCCTATATGAAATTTATTGTTGATCAATTTTTGTATAGTTATAAATTAAATAAACTTTTATAAGAGAACACAAAATCGTAATCAACATTTTATTTTAATAGTACTTTATGTATAAATAAAATTTTTAAAGTAACTGTCACGTGGACTATATATGAATATTAGTGTTGTTCAAATCTATTTCAAAACCAACGGAAAGGGGGTTATATTAAACAAACCTTTTAATTGGTCTAGCCTTACCATAGTGAGCTTGCTAAAATAACGAATTCTCTTAGAGAATCATTATCTTTAGCTGTCTCCCATAGTGGTTCTGCCAAAATAATGAATTCTCTTAGAGAATCATTATTTTTAACGGGTTCCTATAGTGGATCCACCAAAATAACGAATTCTCTTAGAAAATTGTTATTTTTTCATGGGTTCCTATAGAAAATTCTGAAGGTAAGTTATTGTCGATGGTAGATTTTTCCATTTCTTTATTTTTTAATATTTATTTTTTTTCTTTTTCTTTCTTGTAGTTATTCTTCAGTTTCTTTTTTTCTCTGGATTCTAAGGTACTTTTGATTTCAGTGGAAAGGAGCTTTTTAAATATTTTTTTTTTTTTTTTTTTAGAATCAATCTTTCTCTTGGATCATTTGGATTTGGATTTTTATTATAAAATTTCTTTTTTATTTCTTTAGGATCAAACTTTCTCTTTGGATCCTAAGGTAATATTTGAGTTTATATTTTAGAGGGTGGTTAGGATAATTTTTTTTAATTTTTTTAATTTTAAATTTTTTTTTTATAGAATCGAACTTTCTCTTCGGTTCCTAAGATAATATTTGGGTTTGAAAAAGATTTTTTTAACTTTTTAATTTTAATTTTTTTTTTTAGGATTTAACTTTCTCTTCAAATTTTAAGGTAATATTTGGATTTGGTGTTTCTTTTAAAGGGTATAGAATGATTTTTTTTTGATTTTTTAATTTCTTTTTGTAGTAATTTTTTAAAAGTTAAATTGTATTAATTTTTTTTTTTTAGGAATAAAATAACTTAATTTTATAAGAATTTCTTTAGAAATTATTTTTTTTTTTAGAATTGGATTTTAAGATAAATTGTGATTTCTTACATTTTATAATATAATATAATTTAATATTTTTTCTTTATTACAAAGTGAGATAAAACTTTGTTATTTATTTTTATTTATTTTAATACAAAGTGAGATAAAACTTTGTTTTTTATATTTTTACTTCTTATAATATAAAGTAAGATAAAATTTTGTTATTTAAATATATTCTTTATTATTAATATAAAATTTTATTAATTATTATATTTCCTTTAATACAAAGTAAAATAAATTTTTTTTATATATATAAATCTGACATCATATTAACATTTGATCAGAGTTAAATTATTTTTTTCTTTTTTAGGTAATCATAGATAATCAATAGTAATATTCATTTAATACCTATTATTGATCGTAATTATCAATTATACTTAATTTAGTTATTAGTTAAATTAAAAAATATCACACACTAAATTACAATTATAAAAAAGGTTTTGAAACTATTTCTTTTTTCTTTTCTCACTTTAAATATGACAAAAAATACTCTTTTAACAAAATATAATAACTTATTTTTTTTAATTACTTATTTAAATATTTTTAAATATTCAAATTTTATTTCTTATATATTTAACGTTAAATAATATTTAATTATATCATATGATTTAAAATATCAAAATTGGTTAATTTAAAAAAAATTAATTATTTAAAGTTTAGAAATCATATTTCATTTTACGCTTTAAGAATTAATTTTATATATAATTGAAAAAATATTCAGGAGTATTTTTTTAAAAAAGGTATATTACTTTTTTTTTCTTAATTTTCTCTCTCTCATTTTCTTTATTACTTTTTACACTTATTTTAAATATTAAAATTTTATAAATATGAATACACAAAAAAAAAAAAAGCTAGTGGTCATTCTCTAAAAGAAGTATGAAAACATTTTGAACAAAACCTCTTAAATCTCTTGGTTATTTTTCAGCTAAATGTAAATATTGTCAGTTTAATTAGACCCGTGACAATCCAAATGAATTAGAAGAACATTTAGCAAATAATTGCAAAAAAGTTCCAAAATATGTTAGTTTATTTTATATAGATTTAGTTTCTTCACGTGATTTTGGAATTGAAAATAATTTTATACCTTTATCAAAAAATAATAAAAAAAGAAAATATCAAAATCAGCAAGATATAACAGACTGGTTTAAACTAGAAACTATACTTCCTTCAAAAATTGCTTCTATTACTCGTGCTCTTGTTCGAGCATTTGTATATTGTGGTATTTCATTCTCAATTATAGAAAATCCTTTTTTTCTTGAATTTTTACGAGAAATGAAACCAGGATATGTAC